AGGCTCTTCATTTCAAGTTTCCTTTTGTTCAGGAACTTCCTTTAGCCTTCCTTCAGTCTGAGTTTTTCCTTCATCTTACAATGTGTCGATTGTTGCTTCATTCCTCAGGAACAGCCTGCTGGTTGCAGGTTTCTGGGCTGTCAGTTCTTTCCTTTTAACACCTGAAAGCATTGTGTTGCTAAGGCATCTCGTGAGGAATCTGCCATAATTCAAATTGCTTTCCCTCTGCCAGTCGGTTGTCTGTTTTCTCTGGCTGCTTTCAAGACTCCTCTTGAATTTTTTTTAGAAAAATGAATGTGCCTTGGCATGGATTTTATTGGTCTTACTCTGACACACAAGCAGAGAAAGATGGGATTCTACCTTGTTATTGCAAAGTGAATGTGCAAGTCCAAGGTCCCCACCAGGCTGCCACTCCAATTAATACCCAGAAAAGGGAGAGAGAGGTAAAATTTCTTGTCATGTGTGGTCTCTACTGAAACACTGGTAAGGATGACATCAAGGTGACTGGGCAACAATGTGGTAGCTCTCCACCAGGACCCCCTGATGGCACCCAGCATGAAAGCAGAGGGATGCTTAGCTCCTGGCTGATAGAACTAGAATGCAGAGGAAAGCCATAGCGCCCCATCTGATCTGTTCTGAGGTGCCCCTCGCAAGGGTGTTGTTCCACCTTATTGCAGCTTTGTGAGGCTGAGCATCCAGGTTTTCCACTCAGCAATTCTTGGCATGAGTTGGCATGAGAGCACTGTGTGTGTGTGTGTGTGTGTGTAATTATCTAGAATAGAGAGTTATTTTCTCAAACATTCCCTATCTCACTAGACTTCCTCTTTCCCACTCCTTGCAGCAAGATGACAATGCCCTAGTACATCCCAGCTTACAGACGGTGAAAGCCACATTGTCTTTGATGATATAATTTACCAAGACACATCATATTATTTCTGCTACATTTATAGGAGAAGATGCAGGCTTAGGTCTCAGCGTGAGGCTTATCAGTCTCACACTCTAAAAAGAACATGTGGGATGGGAAGGATGCAAACACTTAAAAAACAGAATCTGCCATTTTTTAAAAGTCCAATTTAGGAAGTTTCAAATCCAGTTCCCCATACTGCACAACCCAAATTCTTTCATTATATGGGCATTAAAACATGATACCATCAGTATCTATTTTTTATTCTCCCAAATAAGATGTGCCAAATCTAAAGGCATTACTAATTACCTTCAATTTCTCCTGCTGCTTCAGAAACCTTTATTTTCTTTTAATTTTTATTTTATGTGTTAAGGTGTTTTGCCTGTGTGTATATATGTGTGTGTGTTTATGAGTGAGTGTGTGTGTGTGTAGCTAGAAGAGGGCATAGGGACCCCTAGGACTAGAGTTATGACAGGTCTGAGCCACCATGTGGGTTCTGGAAATGAAGGACAACCAGTGCCTTCTTAAACACTAACCCATCTCTCCAGTCCAAAAACTACCATTTTCTTTCAATGATTGCTCATATCAGGGAGAACTCATTTTCCTATCTTCTAGAGAAGCAATGAGAACTTCAGAAGAAAGCAGTGTGACTATGTAAACTTTGGGACCACAGTGTCCTCTGCATGTCTCTTGAGTGCCCTGACCTCCTCCACAGTACTAGCCCAAAGCAGCCTGCAGTGTCTTGGGGCTCCAGAGTAAGGAGTACATCACAGTCTGAGCTTGTTCTGCCACACTGTGGCCGGACCTGAACACTACACATGGCCATTATTCCCTGACATGGGGAAGAACTTTTCTTTTTCAAGCTTAGAAATCATTTTCTTTCCACATCGGCCCTTCTGACCCCTCTATACACAGGAGCGAAGGGCCAGGATGGTGGTGATAGGGCTCTAGTCTCAGCATGGCTACCCTCACAACAGGTGCCATTTTCAAATGATGACATCAGCACTACCATCTGCCCACGGTTATTATGTAGATGCTCTGATTGAAGCCTGGCAGGTCAAAAGTCAAAGCTAGAGGTTGAAACAACGGGAAAATAGGACCCACAGTCTCCCAGGACCCATTCTTTGCCCCGGTGCTCCCTTCCTCCCCATTGGGTCCAGACCTCAGAGCACAGGCTCCTGCTTGCCTCACTGAACAACACACCCTAGCTGGGCTCTCCACCTATCTCTGTCTTGTTAAAAGCAAAAGACAGAAAGAAGCCAGTTCTTTATCTTCCCATCTCCAGAGTACCATCCGGGTTCTCGCCCTCTTCCCACGCCGAATGCTTCATCCCACCATCCTGGCACACGGAGAGGCGCAACTCAACAATGGCACAGTGAGAGTATTCTTCCCTTCCTGAATTCCACCTAATTCCCCTCGCTCTAGTACATGCTACAAAAAGAGACAGCACCTACCTACCATGCCCTCGGGCTTTCTCCCAGGATACTGTACTCTATCAAGACACTTTCCTCTCCTGCTCTGCATTAGCCTCACCTCGAAGGATTACTGGGAACCACTTTTCCTGTATAGACTCCCCCCCCCCCCGCGGTGTCCTCACTTATCTCTAGCTAATAAGCTGTCACGTGACATGCCATCCTTTCAGACCAATCACATAGCTTAGAAGTTATAGAAGCTACCTACAAGAAGTCACCTTTTCCGTCCATAAAGGGACTTCCTGCTCCAAGCCTCCTGTCCTCGTGGCTTAAGGACCCTTTCTCTTTGCACACCTGGCACGTGTCAGGAATTCCCATCGAGGGAAATCCTGTACATGTTATGATCAGTTTCCACTCCAGATTATTCATCCCCCGACTGCTGCTCAAGAGATGAAAACTAAAAATAAAAGGGACGGAGCTGGAGAGATGGCTCAGCGGTTAAGAGCATTGCCTGCTCTTCCGAAGGTCCTGAGTTCAATTCCCGACAACCACATGGTGGCTCACAACCATCTGTAATGAGGTCTGGTGCCCTCTTCTGGCCTGCAGGCATACATGCAGACAGAATATTGTATACATAATAAGTAAATAAATAAATTTTTTTAAAAGGGTCTCTGTCTCTGTCTCCTTTCATCGCCTGATGAAGGTTAATATCCAGAAGGATGCCTATATGTTTTTCTTTGGGTTCACCTTCTTATTTAGCTTCTCTAGAATCATGAATTATAGGCTCAATGTCCTTTATTTATGGCTAGAAACCAAATATGAGTGAGTACATCCCATGTTCCTCTTTTTGGGTCTGTCTTTCCTCACTCAGGATAGTGTTTTCTATTTAGGAGACAGAGACAGAGACCCACATTGGAGCACCGGACTGAAATCCCAAGGTCCAAATCAGGAGCAGAAGGAGAGAGAGCACAAGCAAGGAACTCAGGACCGCGAGGGGTGCACCCACACACTGAGACAATGGGGATGTTCTATCGGGAACTCACCAAGGCCAGCTGGCCTGGGTCTGAAAAAAGCCAGGGATAAAACCGGTCTCGTTGAACATAGCGGACAATGAGGACTACCGAGAACTCAAGAACAATGGCACTGGGTTTTGATCCTACTGCACATACTGGCTTTGTGGGAGCCTAGGCAGTTTGGATGCTCACCTAACTAGACCTAGAAGGAGATGGGTGGTCCTTGGACTTCCCACTGGGCAGGGAACGCTGATTGCTCTTCGGGCTGATGAGGGAGGGAGACTTGATTGGGGGAGGTGGTGGTGGGGAGGAGGCAGAAATCTTTAATAAATAAATAAATTTTAAAAAAGGGGCGAAGCCATATCCATCATCCTCACTGACAAACTTATTTTGGAAATAATAGTTCCAGGTGGGAGGACAGTGAAAAACAGGGCCCATGAGGAGTATTCATTGCAGAGTATACAATGGAAGCACTCAGTGCTCCTTCATCAGCATGCTCATTACAGTCCTATAAAAGCCATCTCTGGGAAATCAACCCTAAAATTTGAAAACTTTCTGAAAAGAGTGAGAAGGCAGCATTTAGAAGAATCCCTAGAAATAGAAAAATCATATTTAACTTGTGTTAAGATCACCTTGACCATGTCACACTCAGATCTTGCCAACCCCACGTGGGGAAAAGCAATGATGGGTTGCAATGTTAACAATTTTATAAAAGTTATTAATTCCATTTTTCAGATGGAAATACAGGGCCCAGAAAAGCATAAATAAAATTAAGGAAAAGCAAGTAAAGCAATAATAGTATTGGGGTCAGGGGAATCTCCATTTCTGAACTTGAAGGAGAACAGGCTTGCAAGCATCTCTGCATCTCTGCCCAGCCCTTCTCTGGCTGCAGCATTTCCAATGACTTCACTGGAACCCATTTAATTCCAGGGCATCCACAAACTTGCTATGGAATTTGCTGATCGTATGGGCCTGGAAGCCTTTGAGAAGCTTTTGGTGGCTATTTTCTTGTCAAGATCAAGACCTGGAAAATTTGGGTGGGAAACAACAGCCTGGCTACAACCCCGAGAATATTCCTAAGCCCAGGGAAAGCCATCCAATCCATCTGAACTGCAAAGCGTCTTCAAGACAGTGATGTAACTGCATAGATCCATGGTGAGTTGCAATGATGCTTTTTTACCCATGGATAGGCATCATAGCTACCAACATCCTCCCTCCAGCACCACTGAACACCCTCCTCCCTGCAGTGTGCTCTGAGGATATGCCTTATACAGCCCCTCTCAAACTATACTGTGAACAAGAAACAACTAGGGATTTGTTAAAATGCAGGCCCTGGGTTAGGAGGTTAGGAGGTTAGGAATGGGAGCCTAGGAGCTCTACCTTCCTCAAAAGCAAGCGTGAGATTGATTCTGTTGCTCTGGGAACTAAGCTCCAAAAAGCAAAACTCTCGAGCACACCTTAGAGCCCACAGTTCCGAGGACCAAAAAGCCCATGACCAGGAGCAGCTCACATGTGATGGGGCCCAAGTGCAATATTAACCAACAGGAAGGCATTTTCTACATCGCTGTTTGAGCACACCTAACAGACTCATAGAGGTGAGTCACGTGAGCAAAGGCCTCAAGTGAACACTTTCTAAAGGAGCCCAGGAAGAGTGAAGCAAGATTTACTCACGGGAGAAGCGGGCAAGTGGACGGGCATTCTTATCTCCTGCTTCATTTGCAACTGTAGGAAAAACAGAGGAGACAGTTAACAATAAGGCACATTAAAGGGGACCATACAGAAAGAAATCATGGGCTGTTGGCAATGCTATTTACTGGTTACCCCTTACAACCTGAAGGTAAAGCAGTGTTGCTGAAGGAACTTTCTAATCAAACATGGAGAAATCTAGCTGGTCCCCCACTAGAAGCTATTCCCTACTGGCTAGCTTTTATGGTGCTTGAAGGTACTTTGCACACTCCCGGAAGAGAAAAGTAATGATTAAAATTACCCAGTTATAAACCCTACAACCTACAACATCAACCTACCTATAAGACATACAGATACAACTGAAGTAAAATGTTGTAGGAATAACCAACCACTTTGTTTTTAAATTGATTTTAAGGCCCACTCTGAGATATAATCCACACCTGACAGTAGTAATGGGGCCAGAGACTAGATCAGTCATAGGAGTTAGGGGAAAAGCTACTAGTACTATTCTACTAAATGAGCGTGGCAATCAAATGACTCTTCATGACATACTATAACCATAGAGATCTGTGCACCACTCAACCCTCGTCAGAGAAGCTGCCTCTTGCAGTAGACGGCTATTAACAAAGAGATTCACCACTGGACAACGTGCAGACAGTAAGAGACCTTAGAGTACTCGGCCCTAAATGGGAAGCCTTCATCAAACCCCTCCCGCAAGGGATCCACATGGAAGAGGAGACAGAAAGATCGTGAGAGCCAGAGATGGTGGAGAACATCAAGGAAACACCATCATTCAGATCCAACAGGCCTGACCCACAGGTGAACTCAAAGAGACTAAACAAGCACAAGGCCATCACAATTATATTCGAGACAGGCAAAATCCTGGAAGTGGAAGAGAACAAAGTCCTTTTGTGAATGGTAGCTGTCAGGAGAGAAGAATCAGTTTTCTATAATGAACTACACGCCAGGGCAGGCCTCATGCCCAGGAGCTGAAACAAAACGGACCCCAGGTTTTTGTTTGTTTGTTTGCTTGTTTGGTTGGTTTAGTTTGACTTTTTTTGTGCTTTTGGTTTTTGTTTTGTGTGTAAAAGAGAGAGAGAGAGGGAGGGAGAGAGAGAGAGAGAGAGAGAGAGAGAGAGAGAGAGAGAGAGAGAGAGAGAGAGAGAACATGAAGTAAAATGTGGTAGGCGAGTCAGAAAATGAAATAGAGCATACTTAAATATATAATCAAAATATATTTTATAAAAAAATGTTTTATCAAAAAATAGAGTTTCTCTGTGTAACAGCCCTGGCTGTCCTGGAACTTTCTTTGTAAACTAGGCTGGCCTTGAACTCACAGAGAGCCACCTGCCTCTGCCTCCAGAGTGCTGGGATTAAAGGTGTGTGCCACCATGCCCCCACTAAATTTACTTGTTTTAATGTAAATTTTAAAATTGACATGTGCTCCAGGTATTTCCATGCTACCACTGACTGCCTGACCACTCTGACAGTCAGCGAGGCTTGAGTTTTAAGTGGGAGAAAGCAGCCTCCCTTTGCTGGGTTTCCAAGCCTGTATTAGCACCTAAAATTAGCCCCAGCCACCTTCATTAGAATATCTGAGTAAAACTGGCTTGGTGCACAAGGATGGCCAGTTGTGTGGGGATCTGCTAGATGTAATCTGGTTAACCTCTCTATATGTACTAGGTTGAGGTTTTAGTTCTTGCCAGTTTTACTCAGAGAGTCTAATAAAGAGCATCCCTGTACCTGGGTCTCTGTTGTTTCCACTGTGTTCGCAAAGATAGCTGGCCCAGGAACTCGTGGGATTCTCCTGTCTCTCTCGTTCATATCCTTGTAGAAGCACCGGGATTATGAAGGCTCCTACTAGGGAGATAGCTTTTATGTGGGTTCTGGGATTCGATCTCAGGTCCTCATAGTTGCTTGCACTGCAGATACTTTTTATACTGAGTCATCTTCCAGACATTGCTAAATTTAAATGTTTTTACTTCCATTAAGATTGATATGTGTTGTTTTCTATATCCCTGAAAGACAGACATAAATGTTTGTGATGTATTTTGGAATGACATACAGTCCAACCAACAAGAAAATCCTGTTCATTTTGGTTTAAAAAAAAAAATACCAACAGCAGGCAGAAGAGATCGAAGTGTAATCATTGCTGCGTATGATGTTAACACAGGACACGAGAATATCAGCCTCCTGATAGTCTCAGGAATATCATTTTACAGGATCATTTTGCAAATGGTGAAAGGAGCCATGGCTATCTCTGGGGTAAATTAAAGTTCACAGCGTTTGCACTTTTCAACCTTGGTTTCCTTGTTCCTGGCTTTGGAATCATCCCACGGTGGTTCTACTTTTGCTGCATTATACAAAATGGCCAGCAGGGGGAGGTGCTACTGCACACATCACAGCATCTCAAACACAAACCTTCATATCAAGGACCAAAGTAACAAGATTCTCATCTCAGGGTAGGGCCCAGGGCTCTATTTCTCTCATCTTCTATGGCCTTTGGTAAAATCACTATTGAACACCAACAGTTTTGGTTTTTTTTTTTTTTTTTTTTTTGGTTTTTCGAGACAGGGTTTCTCTGTGGCTTTGGAGCCTGTCCTGGAACTAGCTCTGTAGACCAGGCTGGTCTCGAACTCACAGAGATCCCCCTGCCTCTGCCTCCCGAGTGCTGGGATTAAAGGCGTGCGACACCACTGCCCGGCTGAACACCAACAGTTTGCACTGAAGTTCCTTCCTCCAGGCAAAGCCGGCCTGCCACAGGGCAGAACTGCACCTCACCTCTGAAGAACTCCTAGGCCACACTCAGACCCTTACATGGACCTTGTCGCGGACCATCCTGGACAAAAGATACCTCTCACCAGGGTAAGGACATGGGGATTTAGAAATATAGTAAAGAAGATGAAGACACGAATGAAAATAATAAAACAGAGAAACCCAGAAGAGTATCGGGAGGGAGTTCCAGTGTGCACTGAAAACTCTCCTGCATTTAATTTCCAACTGCTTCAAATACTCCTGACCCCAAAAGCTAGGAGTAAGGCAAAAGGCTGCATTAACATGATATAAGGAAATGAACAGACAAATTGAAAGTTGCAGGCTAAATTCATAGTTAAACATTCTCTTGCTAGAACAAAACAAGTCACGCTCACACCCTAGACCAAAACATTCTGTGGGCAAACCACTCCCTGGGTGGAATCCCAAGTTATCTCCATAAAGGGAACTGGGACTTGGTTGGATCCTTAGACTTTTGTTTAAGGTAAGAACAAATCTACTTCTCTATTCCTAGAGCTAGATTGTGCTGGGTCTGGCAATTAGCCATACCTGTTGACAATAAGCTTGAGAGAACAGAACTCTCTGAGCAACACCTAGGTGGACCTTCATTTTGAGGTAGAAGCACAATAACCTTAAAGGAACTAGAGGAAAGTTCCACACTCTGACCTGTGGTCAGTGTTGGAACCGGCTCACATTTCCGGGCCTCCACAGAACCTGACTGGACCTGGATATGCACATGTGTTCTTCTCCAGCCCTTGAGTTCAAATTGTTTCCTCTTTAGACCCTGTATACCTCTGAAAAATAGAACAATCTTTTTCCACAAAAAAGAAAAAGGAAAGAAAAAAAACTTCACACCTTTACTGCAGAAAGCGATAGGCTACCTTCAAAGCAGGGTTACAAAAACCATTGCAATGACTGTGAACACAAGGATCACCTAACGTCTAGCCTTAGAAAGGCACATTCTCCCCGGGTTGCTATTTCAGACCAAGTCTTGGGACTCCCCTCCCAAAAACCTTAGCCAAGGATGGGAATTGCTGACCCCGATCCAAGTTATATCAGGAGAGGCAGGCATCAAAATCTAGGCCAGTGAGGTGCCAGGAGAGTTGCCTCTACCCAGAAGTGATGTGACAGCCGGAATGATTGTTCCCCATGAAGCACAGCCGGAATGATTGTTCCCCATGAAGCACAGACGCCATGCTTCCCTGCTGAGTGGTTTCCAGGGACAGCCTACAATACATGATCCAACTCGCTTGGCCTGGAATCAAAGCCCTGACATTAACTTAATCTTCCACTACGAGTTAGTCAGCTTTCTGTCACTACAGCAGCTGCGTGAAGGGACTCATTTGCAAAAGATCCATTTTGTTCTGTCCAGGGGCCTCTAGTGTCAGATGGCATCAGTAGGAGGTCTTGGTAAAGCACAACTAAGTCATGCCATAACCAAGAAGCAAGCAGGAATTTGGAAGGGGCTGGGATCCTACAGTCCCTTCAAGATAATACCTCCAAAGACGAAAGGCTGGCCAGCAGGGTCTCCCTGTAAAGGTCTCACCCTCCCCAGTAGTGCCACTCTGGGCACAAAGCCTTAGACACACAGGCCTTTGGGATACATTTCCAAACCTCAGTGATGACAGTTCCCACGGCATCTTTCAATATAACACCCTTCACATATTCTCGTGCAAACGCCCCTCCTAGGTCTTCACCAAACCGACCCTGATTTAGTCTTCAGGTTAATGCATAAAAGCATTTCATAGTGCATCCCAGGTGCCGGCCTGTGTTTCACTTCATTCTCCTTGCAGACCCAGCTCTCCAGCTTCAGCAGAAACCAGAACTACCTAGAGGGTTTTCTGAATTGCAGACTACAAACGCAGAGTTCAACCTCAGCGAGGATGGTATATATCTGAGGAAATCCATTCCTGAAAAATTGCAAGGGCCTTGGTGGCTCCTGGTCTGGGATGAATTTTTCAGAACAGCTGGCAATCAGCTGTAACCTGCCCCATCCAACGCAAGATCTTTAATTTTTAATTTTCATATTTCTATTCTTTTGACTAATGACTGCCACTCTGAATAATGTGGTCAGCTGATGTTTCTAGAACTAAAGTAAACTGGATAGATAAGAAATGCCATCGACAGCATCTAGACTAGACATCTCCGGCAGGCTTCTGGCCAATCTGTATGAAGGTCTGATTCATTTGGGCCCACAAGCTTGTAAGTGTTAAATAGTTAGCTGCCTATACTGATAAACAGTTATGAGATTTCAAATATAAGTA